ATTTGGCCAGCTAGACTGGCCTTCTGGATGCTTGTCACACAAGACATTCCATTTTCTGATTCTGTTGCACCTTTCCTGGCCGTCCCCCATGCCTGGATGCTCTCCTTTACCCCTTGAGGGCAACGATTCTTTTCCCTTCTGTGTCCCCATTGATTGGCACAGTGCCTAGTGCATAGTAGGCACTTCATAAATGTTTGAAGTAGAAAGAACTCTAGGAGAGGCAAAGTAATGATGCCATACAGCAACCCTGTGAGGGAGGTAGCACAGATATTACTCTCTCTCTTTGATGACGGAACTTACATAAGATTGGGGGGAGGGGGGGAGGACAGAGGGAGTGAAAGATGTTTTTCTAAAACACTCTTTTCTCTCCTGTATCTGCCACATGCACTCAGTTATGAAATAACTTGGAGAAAACTTGCCAGAGGGATGGTGTTGGGGTGGGGGGGAGGTGCATACCATAGCTATTTTCTAGTATTTGAAGAGAGGTGACAGGCAAAGAGGGGTTAGATTTGTTCTGCTTTGACACAGACTTGGGAACAATGGTTAGGTATTGCAGAAACACATTTAGCCCTGGTAGCATAAACTTTCCCATGTTTGGAGGTGTCTGGCTGCCTTAGGGCAGGTGGCTTGCCCTCATTCATGGTCTTCAAACAAAGGCTGACCACTGGTCTTGTATGTTATAGGGGCAAATCTGGTTCAGACTTCATGAAGTTTTTAAAGAAGAGTGTTTCTGACCTTGTGATATAGATTTGTCAGTGAGTGATTCTCTTCCTCCCTCCTCCCCCCACCCAGTATTCAGTGTCAAAGACCCTAAGTTGTTTAATGAATAGACTACTTCACAAAGCTTTCACAGAGATCCAAACATATACAAGGAAAGCCAGCCTGATAAGCCAGCCTCCATAGAACTGTCTGCTGTGCCACTGAGGGGTCTCCACTGGCTTAGTTGTTTTTCCTTTTGAGATATTCAACTCTCCAGTCACAATCCATTCAGGGAAAACCAGGACAGAGGTCCAGCTTCTCCTTGCTTACAGGTAGCCAGTTCTCATTATGGGAGAACAATTTAGGAAGAACATTGGCAGATTGGTGCCTGGGAACCCAGTTAGCAACAATACAGTCTGTAGCTTCAGGATTTTGAGGGGTTGGCATGTTGAAGTGAGAATAGATTTTCTCCTGACTCAGAGCAGCACTGGGCATAGTAGATTGCTGAGTCTGTTGTGAGAAAAAGCTCCACTTGGAAATTAAGAGTTGTCCAAACCTACATGATTGCTCCATTCCTGGAGGCCTTAATGTGATGCCTGGAGAGGGATTATAGTATAGATTGTACTAGACGACCCCTGAGGTCCCTTCCACCTTGTGTTTCTAGGAACATTCAGTTATTCTGATGATTCTTTTTTATCTCAGTTAAATTCTTTCTATTCCCATTGTTGCCACCCTGGTTCAGTATCTGGAAGCACTGTGATGATCCTCCTAATAATTAGCTTTCCTTACTCCAAATCATCTTGCAGACTGAGTTTTAGAACACCCCCTTTCATCATTCCACCTAAATCATTAAAGAACTGGGAATAGTTGATTATGCCATTCCCCTACACAAAAATGTCAAATCTGCTGCCCACTGGAGAAAATGGAAGATCCTTGGCTTGGCAGCAGTTTGACCTTAACTTACATTCCATTCATTAATAACCACCAACCACCACTACTACTGTAGGCAGACTTTTTTCCTTATTGGCCCTGGATGCCTTTCTACCTCATCTCTTGTTTTCATGAAGTTTTGATTGAATGCTCTCTTCCTCGTGTTGCCTCCAGGATCAGTATAAAATTCTGTTTTGTTTTTAAAGCCCTTCCTGACTTGGACCCTTCTTCCCTTTCTAATCTTCCCTCTAGTCCAGTGATACTGATCCCCTTAGCGTCTGTTACAGAAGTAACTCCATCTACTCATTCAACATTTTCACTGGATGTCTTTCCTTTATGTTTTTGCAGTACTCTCCTACTCCATCTCCATCTCTAGCTTTTCCTGGTTTCCCTCAAGCAGCAGCTTAAATTCCACATTTTGCAAGAAAACCTCAATACTAATGCCTTTACTTGAGAATCATCTCTAAATTATCTTCTATTCATCTTGGATAACATAGTTCTTTACATATTAGCATCTCCCCCCAATGGCCAGCTGAAAAGGTAGAAAAGATCTCTGGGTGATCACAGGAGGGAGGACTAAAAGGAGGGAAATGATAGATGCAAGTAACATTCTGAAGGAAAAAACGGTATTTGGTGACTGGTGAAGGAGAGAGAAGTCATAGATGATTCCAAGGTGTCAAATCTAGGGGACTTGGGAAAAAACCAGATAATTATCAATAAACAGGGAAGTCTAGAACTTGAGGTGCTTATCTTCACTTAGGGGTGAAGATAAGTCAAAGCCAGGAGACTGAATCAGTTCAGTTTAGGAGAAAATGAATTGCAGAAGAGCAGAAGCATTGAATTCTGGAAAAGGGAGACCTAGTGTCCTTGGAAGCAAACTATATTCATGGCAGGGATCAGAACAGGAATCTTAAGGGTGAGCTGTTCATGCCTTTAGGGAAGGATAAATCCAATGGAATACATCATGGCAAGGAAAGATTTCCTCATACTTGGCCTTGTTCCCTTTTTGGCCCACTAAGTTGATTTTTTTCCTGACTTGAAGCAAACCTTTTCGAGAGACAGTTGTTTCAGCAGACTCTGAATTTCAACACAGCATAGTGAATGTGTGAAGGCTGAAGCCACCAATACCATGATAAAGACATTGAGGGAAAGGAACCTGAAAACCAGCTTGCCCCCTGGATAGTGGTATCATTTATTCAATGCTTAGTTTTACCTAAGTAGTAAAGCCTACTTATAGGGAAAAGGGACTTTGTAGCATCTGGATGACCTTGGAACAAATCCTGATTACTGTTTAGATCTATTTTCTCATCTGTAAAATGAGAGGGTTAGTTTTTTTTTTTAATTTTATTTACTTATTTTAATTTTTTGCTAGGCAGTCGGGGTTAAGTGACTTGTCCAGGGTCACACATGTCATGTGTTGTGTGTCTGAGGCCAGATTTGAACTCAGGTCCTCCTGACTCCAAGGCCAGAGCTCTATCCACTGTACCACCTAGCTGCCCTGAGAGGGTTAGTGACTTGAGAGTCTCTTTCCTTTCTAAGTTTGTGATCCTGGAAACCTTTTTGATGGGAAGTGTTTGGTCAGGTGGTGGACTGTGGATATCTTTTTCTTGATAACCCCTGCTTTTTCCAGCATTCCGTGCAAGTGTGATGGCCTCTCTTATTTTGCTAGTGGGGCTGTTCTCCTCAATGTGATCCTTGGATACATCCCAGTTACCTTACCACACCTTCTTCCTCAAGTACTTCTGCCAACTTCCTGACCTTTGTGAATTGCCATGTGTCCAGAAGCCTTTTTGCCACCATCTCACATTGGGTTCCTTCTCACTGCTTTTCTTTGCTTCCCTTTCTCTTTCCCTTCAATGTACAAACCTTCAAGAGTCTTAATTGGAAAAAGTTTACCTTTGCTCTGTGGAACAATTCTGCTGGAGCTTATCCTCTCACCTGTTCTATTTCTGGTTTTAAGGTTCTGATCTTTAAGAATCTGAAAAAAATGTTTTAGAAATAAGAACCACTGAACCTTAAAATTAGAAGGGATGTTTTAGAGGTCATCTAATGTACTCTGAACAACAGAATCATTTTTTTGGAGGAAAAAATAAAATGACCATGCTTAGTGACATTCTTCTGTTTTTGTAGTATGTATTCCTTGCAGTGTCATTCATGTTTTTGTCTTTGTCTTCCTAGTGATTAGCTTCCTTTAACTAGGCTGGCTTAAATGGATTAACTGACAGTGTTGATAACTCAGGCTACATAAGAACTTTTAAGTCTCAAAGAGACAACATCAGTATATCAGAAAGAGGAATAAGGAGATCCAAAGTGAGCTCATTATATATGATTAACAAACCAGAGAGAGGGAGTTGTTGCCAGGGGACAGCAGGGGCTGAGGCTCACATTAACAGGGAATGGTTGACTAAAATTAGTTGGCTTACTGTTATGAGAAGGTAATGCATTTTAGAAACCTGTAGTAAGTAGGACTTGTGGTGGTAAAGACCACCACAAAAAAGATCCTGTGTCCACAAAGCAGGAGTAATTGAATCAACTAATGTATGGAATTTGGGAGCACTGTCTTGGAGAATGACTAAAAAGGCCAAGCCCCAAATCAAGGCTCTTCCCACTGAACCACACTGCCTCTTCACTAGACTGTATAATGAAATAGGCAGAACACACTGAGTAAAATATTAATCTTACTACGTTGGAGATGAATTTTTTGTTAAGTTCTAAATTACTTTAAAATAGACACACAGTCCAAGAACTATCCTAATTTGTCCAAGGTTCTGTTGCCTTGGTAACCTGTGGTTGGGAAATGTTAGTGAGAAGGGGGAGGCTAAATAAGGATTCATTTGGGGGGCAGCAAGTTCACCATTGGAGCAGCAGGAGGTAGCCTCCAGTTTCTGGCTAGGACTGGCCAAAAGGAGATAGGGAGAACTTCATTTATGGCTCACCTCTATTCCCAGAGAAGTTGTTAAATATTTTCTCTAGACTGGCTGGGATAGAAAGTAAGAATAAAATAAGATCCAAATCAACAAGTATGGGCTGGGCCCCCACTGTGGATCTTGTAACTTAAACCCCTTCTTACAGATTTGTTGAGGCAGTAGTTTTAATCCCCATATAAACGTTACTCAGTTGTGCAGCAAATGGCAATAGATGTTTAACTGGCCAGTATCCTTTAGTTATTAGAATCCTTCCATTCCACACTTTGAAAACAATTTGACTTCAGTATCACATTTGATTTGTTCTTGATGATAAATAAATTACAAACCTTTTAACCCTTAAATTATGACATAAAATAAAAGCACTTGATAGGGGAGTGTTTTAAATGGGCACATCAAGGGAAACCTTTCGCTCCATGTCAAGTCCCTGTTTTCTGTTTTCTTTAGCTTTATCTCCAAGCCAGAATGAAGGCAGATTGGGCACGACTTCTGCGCCCCACACTCCAGTTTGCTTTCATCGCTTTATCTATCTACGTGGGGCTTTCTCGTGTTTCTGATTACAAACATCACTGGAGTGATGTGCTGACTGGACTCATCCAGGGAGCTGTGGTTGCAATACTTGTTGTAAGTATACAAACTCAGGTGTAGACCAGCCTTCCTAGAGTAAAAGGAGGAATTGGACCTTCAGATCAATCTCTATCTGCCTCATCTTAAAAATGAGGAAAGTAAGGCTTCCAGATAAAGTGAATTGAGTTAGGGGTGGAACAGGGACCATAAACACCCCTACCTCCTACCCCCCTTTTTAAAATCCAGGTGAAGTATTCCATTCAGCCAAAAAAAAAAAGCACCTATATGTAATGCAGATGGATTTGAACTCAGGTCCTCCGGACTACAGGGCCAAAGCTCTATCCACTGTACCACCTAGCTGCCCAGAGAGGGTTTGATTGAAGATAGAAGTATAGAAATAATAAGATACATATAACATAGTCCCTGTTCTCAGGGAAATAATTATATAACATGAAGCATCTAGGAAAAATTCTTAAGCTGTTCTCTTTTAACATTTCAGTAGACAAAAAGTACAACTCCCCCGTTAAAATCACTAGAGGTTGGGGTGTACCAGACCAAATCCAAACCAAGAGTTTTTGTTTTTGATGGGTGGATTATTATCTATGAAACATATGAAACATTCTATAGAATGTCATTGCTTTGGGCTTAGTTATTGAGAAAGTTACCAGATCATCCTCTTACTTCATTGAGTATTTAAATAGATCATCACCAAACCGAAATGATAGGGAGCCTTGATGCTGCTGCTGCAGGAATGGAAACATACTGCTTCATACTTAGCTGAGCATTAAGGCTTTTTACTCCAAGAGAATTTGATGGGCAAAGTAAGAATACAGAGAATAAATAAAATGGAAATCTGATCCCTTAAACTTAGTTATTTCTCCCCTCTCCCCCCAGTTTACTCTAGAGAAAATTTCAGTAAACAATATTTTAATCTACTTCTTAGGTTGTATTTGTATCAGATTTCTTTGAGGAAAGAAACTGTCCATTTAAGCAAAGAAAAGAAGAGGACTCACACACAACTTTGCATGAGACGTCAACAAATGGAAATCATTACGGAAGCAATCACCAAGCATAAAGAGCTAAAATCGCCTGCTTTCTAAAGGAAAATGATAACAGCAGGAGGAAAAGATAATGATCATTTTCTCCTGGTGTAAAAAGCCTTTAAGGGACTGCTGCTGCTATACCTCTCAAGACGCCCACTTTACCTGTGTATATAGTCACATTTAACACAATAATAGCTTTAAAATTCATTCAAAAGATTTCAAACCTTTCACTAAAAACACTACCCACCTGTACATTTTTTTATTAAAATAATGTGGTAATGCTTTTATGTACAAATGTGTATGTCATATACTTTGCTAGAATGATGCTTGTTTTAAATACAATACAAATTAAAATGTTTATGATGAAGAGTTGTCCATTTGTTTGTAGAAAATTCAAAGAGCTCTCTCTGCAGTGTTGAACAGGGACATGATGGTTGCCATTAGTAACTGGTTGATTCTACAGGTAAAGGCTTGCAGCAAACACAATATCTCTCTTGATTTTGCTGATTCCTATAATAAAGGAAAACAGACATGAATACTAAGTTAGCAAGAACATTGTGTGTATACACAATGGCAGAACTGAATACTTAAAACTGGTGAGAAACTTAGCCTAAAACCTGGTCCTAATTATTCAACCTCTCTAGGCTTTGGAACACTTTGGCTGGCACTGGTGATATTGACGGTGACATTCCCTGTCAATGAATTTGGAATAAAGAGGTACAGTGGAATCAAAAAAAGCTGTTTAAGCATCAATACTAATTCTGATTTCATGCCTCTAAACACTTGGCCTTCAACAGGCCTGGCCCACTTAATCCACTTACCCAGATAAGAAATACAAGAATGCATATTTCAAAGCAAAAGAGCCCCCTAGAAATCCAACACATAAGATACTACATTAACACTTTTAAAAGACAAGGAGCCCAAAGTTTGACAGTTTAGAATTATTAGAATAAAAAATCCATTGGTTATGGATAAGTTACAAACCTTCTGCAAATTTATTCTCCAGCTCAGTGTTTCCAATAGCTTTTGCAGCTTGACACATCTGCCGAAGCAATTCTTCCAGGCGCCTCATACAACGAATTATGCTGCCTAGTCAAAAGGAAGAACAATTACTTAACTGCTTAGACCTGGAAAAATTTCTGTCCCGGGGTAAGGCACGAGAACGTTTGTGTTGAATTCTACATATCCCCATTGCCCTGGAAGTTTTGAAGCTAGCAATGGATTTGAATTCATAAAGCATTTTTCCCCTAGAAGAGTTACAAGCTTGCTAAAAGTTTACCCTGGGAAATATTTGGGCCTCAGCTCGAAACTTGGCTCTGTTATTTGCTAGGTGTGTGACCTTGGACAGCTTCAGCTCTTGGTGTCTCACGAGATCAACAAATCTGAAGTTAGAAGGAGCCTTAGTTCAAATCCTTTGTTTTACAAATGAAAACAGGTCAAGAGAAGTAACAGTCATACACCTATATCGGGAAACTGGGAATTAAAAGACTGATCTTATGACTCAATCCAAATGGCTCTTTTCCATTGTAGCACGTCAGGGGCAGAGCCAGAGAGTTCTCAAGGTCTCTGCCAGTTCTACAGTCCCCACTTATGCAGGGCAAGAACTAGTATGTCAAGGCCAAGTACTATCTCTTCCCCATAATCTCCACTGAAGTTCTGGGGACACTAAGGCTCTTGTGCTAGAGGGGTGCCAACTCTTAGTCTCAGATAACTGAAGGCCCACAGAGTTCTCAAAATGCAGATCACTTTAGGAATATCCATTACTCCCATTCTCTTTTAAATAGCACCTTCATTAACATAAAGAAATTATTCACGAGCATTCATGAATTAATGAACAAAAAATCAGTGAATCTATAAGGAAAGCACAGTTTGCTTGCTTGCATTAAGATAAAAAGTACTAAAACAAAAGACTTCATCTTATCCACTCTATGTTGTTCAGTGTGTCATGACCCATTTGGGGTTTTCTTGACAAAGACACTGGAGTGGTTTGCTGATTCCTTCTCCAGGTCATTTTATAACTGAGGCCAATAGGGTTAAGACCCTTGCCCGGAGTCTGAGGCTGGATTTAAACTCAGGTCTTCCTGACTTCAGGCCCAGCACTCTGTATGATGCCCCTCTCTGGGTTATATACTGTCTCATAATATGCTTGATTACCCATTCCTACAGAGCTTTTCTCATAAGATTGCCACATACCTAATTTTTAGTTCAGATAGTAAAGGGTCCAGGGCCCAACATTACAATACATCCACAAACCTTATATATTATAGAACCTGGACTTGGCCCTCCACTGATCTTCAAGCTTTTTTTTTCTCTTTTGGCTAGGCAGTGGGGTTAAGTGACTTGCCCAGGGTCACACAGCTAGTAAGTGTTATGTATCTGAGGCCACATTTGAACTCAGGTCCTCCTGAATCCAAGGCTCTATCCACTGCGCCACCTAGCTGCCCCAATCTTCAAGCTTTTAATCAATAAACCTGGATGAAGACATTTCTTGTCAAATCTGCTGATGCTCATACAATCACAGATTTAGGGCTTGAAGTTTACTTAGTCCCACACCCTTGGATCTTTTAGATAAGGAAATTCAGGCCCAGTGAGGTTGAGGTTGAGCTTGCCCAAGATCACACAGGTAAGTGAGAGCTAAATGCAGGTCCTGACTCCAAATTCAACATTCTACTGCACGACGCTGCCTTCCAATACAAGTTGAGAAGGAAAACTTATTTTTGTAGTTAAGACTCCAAAATACCTTGAGACTAGAAAAATGGCAGTCAAAAACTGAATACTAGGTGAGGCTGCATTGAGGGGCAAAGTACCCAGAATAAAAGTTGAGGCTTTTGCTATAAACTGTTTTGTAAGGCCACCACTAAAACACTGCTCAGTTCTGAATATCACCATTTTCGGAATGATGTAGATAAGTTGGAGAATATCCAAAAGAGGATAATCAACTTGGTGGGAAAACTGTAGACTATGACCTATGAGGATCAGTTGGGAACTGGGGATATGTAAAGGGAAGATTAGAAGGAGAGGAGATCAGACCTGTTCTGCTTAATTTCAAAGGTCAGAATTTAGGAATAATGGGCAAAAGTTGTCAAATCAAGCCAAAAAAATTTAGGCTTGATTTAACAGTAATTCCACAATACACTGAGAAGCCTGGGTGACCTACATCACAGGTACATTACAGAAGGGATTCTTGTTCAGAGCCTGAGGCCCCGTCAAGGACACAACTTTTTCTGACTTTGTGACAGTCATCCTAAGACCTTAAGCAGTTTTGGCAAAGCACAAGGCTTCTCAGGGGGGGAAAATATGCGTAAAATTCTAGAAAAACACAATTTCATGCTAACATTCCCTGTTAAACTGAAATTTTATAGTAAATTTTTTAAAATTACAAAAAAAGTCAAAAATTGTTAGCTATAGATATTTTTTGCTAGTGCCATAAATTGAATGCTTTCACGTGTACATCTGAAACAATTTCTTTCATTGAGAACAATCTACTTTGTTACTGTCAGGTCAACCCAATGATCTCGCAGGGTATCCCAAAAGTCTTGGTGCAGTTTTAAGCCATTAAAGCTTTTGGGACAAGTCAACTTATCCTAGTCAAAGATCTGACCAACAACAATTGTTGCTTCTTTTACCAGAGATACTTTACAGGAAAAAAACTATCTATGAACAAACAGCTCCTCCAAACCCCAGTGTGGAAAGATTACTGAACCAAGAAGAATGGGGTTCTAAGTCCTAGCTCTGATACTCACAAAGTGTTTGTACCTCAAGCAAGTCACTTCCCCTCTCTAGGCTTCAGGTTCCAGGTTTTCTAGGTTCCAAGACTGCAGTGTAGTTCTAGGTCTTAATTATCTGGCAGTGATGGTACAGAGATATAGTCTTGTCTTAACATGTAGAAGCCAGAAATTCTGGATTTTGTAGACTTAAGGTCTCAGAGTGGGAACCTAACTTTTCCTTGTAGGTACCGTACTAGGGTTCTGGGTAAAAAAAGAAGTCTAGAAGAACGGAGATAGGCAAAGGTAAAAGATGTGAAGACTGGAAGGGGGAAAGGAACCTTATAATTTAGAAAAGAAACCATTTCCAAGAACATTTTGAAAGATGTTTTGCTTAGTACATTATAAATAAAATCTTTTCTATTACTTGGTATATTGCTATCTATTCTTTAGTTCCCTTAAATGACTTGTAAAACCATGAAATAGAAGTATTTAAATGCCAAATATCTATAGTAACAAGTCATAATTTTTCTACACTGGGCACGACAGTACAACTCTCAAACTCATGAGCAGAGATGTATTTTTTTCTCAAGTACTTTTAATAACAGAAGGAGGTATATAGTGACTTTTCTACCTATGGACTTTTAAAAAGTCTCTCCCCTTCCCCCTGCCAATCAGTGGAGGGCAATCAGATGTGAGGCAGTGACAGGAAAAAAAAATCCTTTGTTTTATCAAAGGATGAAACTCATGTTCCTTAATTCAAGCAGTCCTTTGTAACAAATATTTAAAACATGAAAATACATATAATTACTAAGTCTGTACTTATTATCCGATTAACATTTTCAAATTTAATACATCACAAAACTTAATAAGCAAACCAAATTGTTGGGAATGCATTTTTATATTCCTTAGCTAAAAGTGTGATTTTAGATTTGTAAAGGGTCTGTAAGATGTAAAATACTGCATACACCTTTAAAAATTCTCCCCAGTTTCAATTTTTTCCCTCCTGGAAACATTTTTGTCTCTAGACAGATCTTGCTGACATAGGTAAGGGAAAGGGACCATTTATGTATTTTCCAATAGTGACAAAGAAGGTAACATAGATTTGTCAAGCAATGTTTAGGAAAGGATACTGTAGAAGCACCTTCTAGGCCCAATCGACTGAATGGGTTGGTACAAGTGTGACAATTCTGTAAATGATCCTCTTTATATTCTGCCATTGCAGATGCCATTAGGTCAACTCCAACCTTATCTAAGTAGTGCTTGTGGTGGATGCCCTAAGGCACCAGGGCACATGACATCAGTCTATAATAAATTTCCCAAGGGGGGGAAAAAAA